ACTTATTGATTTCCACAATTCTAATACTGAGGCTTACTACTGTATACACACAATCCATAGGAATAAGCCTACCTAGTTTACTTGGTAATGTACCACATCCACGGTCACTCATACCTTTAAATGATGATAAACATTTTCTCTATCAATACTTCAATGAGCACTTGTTAAATGACTAAATCAATATCCTTTGCTAATACAATTTTATGAACATAGACAACTTACTAATTTTTAAGTTTAATACTTCTAACATATTTCTGAGAAATACTGAATGAACTACTGATAAATACAACAAAAATTAAGTCACCTAAAAATAACATATGCATATGGAATTGGTAAAACAAACTTTAAAAAAAACTATCATGTTAATTATTTTTTTATTTGAGCACAAATTTTTCCACTTCTAGCTACTGTAAAATTATTTCTAACAGTATAAAAGATTCTCCTTAAATTCTCGCCAGACATCTAGTTTTAATAACATAAGAACAACATGTACAAGTGGTACTATGTAAATCATACTTACGATTACTAAGAGAGCGGCTAACATTTGGCGGTGTCATAGTTTTAAAAGAATCGGGCCCACTTCCAACGGACACAGAATGAGTATCCGATTGGCATCGAAGATCACCACCGGGTACCACAATTGGTTGAGAGCTCATTATGGATCTATTAAACATTTAAATGATTACAAGCATTGGAATACCATGCTTTATAATCATGATAAGCATAACAATTGATGATTAATAACGTAATACTTATATATGTACAAATAAATAAATGGACATAGTATAGAACCATGAATTATTATATAAATTATCTGACACTAGAATTAAAAAAATGACTCATGTCATAACTACAGCAGGCATATCACATAATGTATGTTACGACAAAGTGCTATGTAATGATAATTAAATATATATACTGCTTCGCCTTTTACAGACAGCCACACGCGCTACATTTCTTTGCAAAACCAGCTATTCGAATGAGTGACAGAAATTAGCAAGTAAATTAAAAAATACTGTGCAAAACAAGCGTGCAGTCCCATATATCGTCTTAACGTGCTATCAACGTTACAAGGATGAATAATTTTGCCGTAGTAAGTAGTGATTTGTTGCGAAGCAGAAAAAAAAAATATTATATAAAGTATCAGCGACTTACCTGATTTCGAATGACTATTCGACCACTCGATACTTATGTATCACGACAGATTTAACTGCACGAGGAACAAGTATTAAAACATAAATGATAATGCAATCGTTGAATTCACCATTATGCACAATTTTAATTCACGAATGGTATGCACTTCGCGAATTGATCTATTTTTTCACTGATGTAATTACAAACATTCGAAGCAAGAAAGCGACATGCACAGACGTCAGCAGTACGACGGCGCGAGCGCGAAGTCTGATGTTCCATTGATCACTTGCTGTTATAGCTTAACTATAAACATATGGATCTGCTAAGTTATTCAAAACGAAAACATACGACGCATAATACGTTGCAGCTTTTATCGATAGAAAAGCAATGCAATGAAACTGTTTCGATCGTCTAAGAAAAGATCATTGACCATCATTGAACATCACCACTTGATCGTTTAAGCGTTTCTTTTTTTTTATTTATTAGTATTCGTATAAAAAATGTTGATATATAACAACTATCACTAGACTGAAATTATGTCCAAAAAGAAAATACAGCATGAAAATTGTCTAGCGTTAAAAAATACTTCGCACACAATTAACGTGTTGATGCATGAATGTACATACACATTACAACATATTTGTAGGCACTCGCGTATCTCATACAAACGACAATATAAAAATCTTTGAACTACCAAGAAGAGTAATCTTTGTTCAATTATCTCTCAAGTGTCATTAGGCTGTTATATTCTCTCAATGATAGTCGTAAGCCGCTTCTTAAAATAACATGATCGTTCCGCTGCGGCAATGAAACAATTATACGCATTAGTACGATCCAATCAGATTCATTATTCGATCGATTAATGAAATATTTGACATCGGCAAAAACGTAAGGTCACAGTTAAAAGAATACCGTTTCATTCATTTCTGTATACGATCGTCAAGTATTTTCGATCGAAACTTTTTTAGAAATTCACTGAATAAATGCTTGGATGAATTAAATTATTGATGGAAGTGCGCAACGTACACCGTTTGCCGGTGCTATATTTTAGAACAGAAAAAAAAGCAAGGAACAAAGGTTTGAACACGCTCAATATAGCATAGCTTTGCAAACGATGTAATCATTTCAATGACAAATGTTAATTCGAGAACCATGTTTGCAAACTTATTTACCGAAACTTATTAATATTGATGCCCATGTGTATCTTCACATGTCACGTCGCACTCAACTAAACATATACGTTGGTATCTATGGATCGAATCACAGAAATAACTTTTGTTTAAGATATTGTATCGAAATTAAAAGTTACGAATTAGATAACTGAACGATACGTTGTAACGTTCAAAGTTGAACTAAGCGAAATCTAAATGAATCGCTACCTATATTTTAGATTGAACGTATTAAAGATTGGTTAGTTGCTACGTCACAACTGACATCAACTGACATCGTCACGAATTGATATCTTTTTTCCTATCTGCAGTATTTTAGAAACTTCAATTCGATAATATTAATCATATTCTTGTCGTACTTTAGTTAAAAAAAATAGAAAATATATATATCGAATTGAGTAACCTCCCTCTTTTCGAAGTCGGTTAATTACTTATCTGTAATCTTATTATCTACCTATATACAATCTGTACATATATATACAAATATATCGTATAACCCTTGAATTTAGTTTCGAAGAAATATGAATCGCCATCCAATTTCTGTGGATGTTAAGAAACGCACTAGCGAGCCTCCAGTAGAATTAGAAAGTCAATTTATTTTACGTTTACCACCGGTAAGTTTATTTTTCGTTAAATTAATAATACTTTTAACCTAAGTTATTTGAGGTTATAAAAGTAGAATGATAAAGTCGACTGTATTTACGAAACTGCTGTGTTTTTTTGTTAGGAACCGTCACGAGTTTTACGAGAAATTTTACGTAGTGGTTTGCCTTTAAAAGACAGGTTGAGTATAAAACTGGAAAATGATATGCGCTACGGCGAAGTTAGATTCGATCATTGGCTTCTTCATGCTAAGGTAAAATTCTAACATTATTCGATTAATCGTCAGCTACAGGCATCAAGTGTAACTTTATTTTGTACAATATATCGGTATGTACCTATTAACAATAATATATTTAAAAACATACCATAATTTCAGGTTGTTGATTTGCCAACAGTTGTGGAATCCTTGAAAACGATTGACAATAAAAGTTTCTACAAAACTGCGGATCTATGTCAGGTAAGAGAATGATTAATTAAGAAACTTGGGAGCAAGATACATGTAGCATTTATCTGTTTATAGTTATTAATTTGTAAAGAAGAAGATGATCACACTACGACGGACGAAGAATCTCCGGTACGACAGAAGAAAAAGGATCCGAATAAAGTAGACAAAAAGTTTTTATGGCCTCATGGTATAACCCCTCCTACCAAAAATGTGAGACGTAGAAGATTTAGGAAAACATTAAAAAAGAAATATGTGGAAGCTCCAGAAATCGAAAAGGAAGTAAAGCGTTTGTTAAGGGTAGATAATGATGCTGTTAATGTTAAATGGGAGGTAATATGTGAAGACAAAGATCAATCGAAACCAAGCAAAGTATCGTCGTCTGGTACTGTGAAAACTAAAAGGGAAAGTATTAATGGTAACACTTCTCAAAGTCTCGATGTTGGTAAGTGGTTCAAATAATAATACAAATATAATTGATAGGTATAATATGTATTTTGTACATGTTTATTATGTTCATATGTAGCGGAGGATGACATATTTGGCGAACCTCTGAGTGATAGCGAAGACGATGACGAAGAAGCAAACATAAATGTCATGGAATTGGATGAGAACAGTCGACTTTCGGCGGATAGTAGAGTATCGGATTCTAATTCTTTGCAAGCCACGTATTCAGAAAGATCTAATAACACGGCAACAAATAACAGTCTCGTTACGGAGTTCAAGAAGGAAATGTTCCAGAATGATAATAATGGTGAAACAGAAAGCGAAAAACCAGTAGAAATATCAACAAAAATGCCTAAACTGGAACAATTCCATTCAGAATATATTATCCCAGACGATTTCTCAGAAATACCAGCTGCTCCATTATTAAAGGGTATTTCGATTCATGGTCTATGTTTTATCTATTAAATGGTAGACTACTATGAGTTGCAAGCAAAAGTTTCCTGTTTTTATGTTTTAGATTCGTTACAAACACGTCTTGCAACGTTACACGCAGAATTAGCGGAATTGCGACAACGAAGGCAACAACAAGAACTTGAAATAGCTAATATCGAAAATGTTAAATTGCGGCAAAGATTTCAAGAAATATTGGATAATTTACTAACACAAGAAATGCAAAAAGTTCAAGAGGTACGTATTTCTATCATTTATACAATTGTTCCCTTTAAAACCTTTAATTACAAAACAATTATTGTATTTCAGATTCAAAACTTAGAGTTGGAGTAACGTTTAAAACGTCAAGATTTGCGGAGTTCCTTTACCTTGATATCATTTTTCATTTAAAAATGTGACTGCAAGTCATTACATTAAACAGCGCCTTTAATATGTATGTAAAATATGAATAAAGAAAAGCAGAGTAAACAACTAATTTACTAATTTTTTTCATTTGGAACATCTGAAGTCAGATTTGTCAGCAATCTGTTTCGCAAATCATTCCACGGATAACGACACTTATCTCTTGCAGGTTTTCGATTTTCTCGACCTATCTATATCACTTTAAAGTCAAATAAACAATTTGGGCATCTGGCAACTAATTACCGGCAAAATTGGACTTGAATATTTGAAAAGCGAGCAAGAAAAGCTTGCGCTGACTTTCTTTTTCGAGTTTCCGAAGTTGTCCGAAGTTTTACGAAGTTTCGATACGTATGTCTAGTAGTGGAGGAAATTCAATGTGGCGCCCAAGGACGCCTGATGCTACATCTGGCATCATAGGTGCGGGCGTTTATTTTCTTTTAGTGTCGAACATTGAAACTTGTTAAGTAGATATTTAGTCTCGATTACGTATTCTCAGTTCCTTAGCTTTGGGTCAGGTACGTAAGAATTATTTCACGCGAAGATCTTTGTTTTCTACGATTGTCATCTGTTTATGCACTGTCTTTCTTTCTTTCTTTTTTTTTTTATACGACTGATAACGTCAACGAATTATAACACAGCGTCGAGCTTCATCCGTTCGTCGATATTTCATAGCTCAATTTTTCTTTAATTTCGTATTTTTCGTTTTCCTGTATGAAACATCGGTTGATACGTGTCGTTTTCATAATGTCGGCCCGCCCATATTGTGCTCTAAATTCCAATCTTATTCTACGTATGTAAACTTTCATATTTGTCGAATGTCAGTATACCTTATTGCTCCTCTATAAATCATTGTCTCATTCAACGATATAAATTTTTCGTTTCGTATATGCGTTTGTTGTTCGTTCCCTTTCGTGCGTATGTATTTATTAAAGGGTTGCCTGTCAAATAGTGTTATTTAAAGTAAAGTATAGCATTTCGTAGAAGCAAAGATATTTTCTATGAAGTGTAGTAGTCTACACGGAACATTTGTATATAATTTAGTAGATTGTAGAAACAAGTGTTACTGACAGTAAAGAACTTGCGATGCTCGACTATTTAGTTAATCATTACATTGCATCGCCACAAACTTCGCAAAAACTTCTAGCTATGAATCATTTGACAATATTGTTTTTTACTGTCACGATACAAAATCCAATATCACATTGCTACACAAATACATAATTGTGATAAATATACACGTACGCGAATTTCCTTTCCTTTCTGATAATGGCTGCAGTATGTTTAAATGTAGTTGTGTTGCAAATGTGCCACAATCTAGCACTTTACATGGACTTTTATCTACTTAATTATACATGGTAGCGTACACAACTATTTGTAGGAAAGTATTGGGACAAATATGTACTTGAACAGTTCGTGCTTCCGAGTTTGTTCGGGATAGTCGTTACGACATACCTTAACTGTGATCGTGGTTTGTAATAGCACGTATTTCTCTTAATAGAACATAAACGAATGATCGTGACTATTGCTTCAGTTCCAGGCACAGATTGTAGATAAATTGCAGAACGCGTTTGCAGCGATGGCCGACGAAAGATTTGATCTTTGCGAATGCATATGGAACCATGAATTGGCGACGCAACGCCTACTCGCTATCGTAAGTGATAGTAACTGAATTTTTTGCTCGGAATAATCAGCTGTTGCGCGTTCGATAAAAATTTGAAACCAGATAAAATATATAGCAATTTATTCGTAATCGTCGTACGATTAATTTTTTCGAATTTATCTTATACAAATAACGGATAAAAAGTTGTTTACTTTTTATTCGTTATATAGAACTTTCATGTAGATAGAATTTTTTGTTCGTTCTTAAAGAAGATCATTTCTTCCGAAAAAATAAATTGTAAATATAAAAGTCACTCGATTTGTTATAGTACGAACAACCATTGCAGACACGTTGACTATCAATGACGTAACACGTGTCAACTTGCAAAAATCGTCAGTTGTTTGCATTACTTTGTATTTCGAAAAGATATTACAGTCGTCAATAAGTATATTCTTATTAACGCGTTGTTTACCTTTCTTCACAATTTGAGACGAAGCATATTATTGAAACAAGTATCTTGAAAAATTTCAAAATATCACATTATTTTATTTACATATGACCTTGTCAAAAATTATGTTATCGTATGCGGTTGTAAAAGAGGTCACCGTTTGTTAGTGTCTTCTCCGCTAGCGTTCTGTAAATAAAGTCGCAACATGTTCTATATACTTCGTTTATGTACGAAAAAAAATTATGTATATAATATTTCATGAATATTCATATTATTTCAGTTGAGGCAGAGCCAGAATTACTGTACGGAGACTGAATGTTTCTGTATGTATTCGTATTTTTTCATCGATAATTAAACTTTTGATTTTTCTTATCTTTTGTTTATATTTTAGTGCCGGGATCACGCGACGTTCAAGAGTCCTCAGACTTTTTCACGACTTGTTTAATTATTGCATTCGGGATCATTATGTACGTTCTTAGACCGAACTCGCTTCGTCGATTGAGAAACGACAATGCTAAAGATTCAGATAACAGACGTGTGAGTGTTGTCACTTAAACTGTTCACATTAATTCATGTCTTTACGTTTGTTGTGTTCCAATTTGTATTTCGTTCAAATTTGACACGCTAGCGTAGGAACGTGTTAATATTCAATTTTTAATGTTCTGACACATCATTCTTTTAGGATTCAAACGATGACCCTCCTGCACCGCCACCAACAGCGTTTTAAAACGATAACAATGATAGCAATATGATAACGCGATATGTTTTCGTGTGAATTTTCATGATAGAATCTCATGAGTTCATGAAAAAAGCGGGAGTAGAGAAAGGATAATAACGATTTGTCCAATTTATATAGCACTTGAATACATAGACTGCTACTAAGGAATGTAATTTCTTATATACACTAGAAAGCATAATTTATACACATTCTTTCTCTCTCTCACTTTTTCCTTCAGTCTTATTACTAATCTCTATCGCATACCGGGAGTATGCGTGAAAAATTCTATAAGAATATTTTCATTAAGTTAACCAAATGAAAAAAAGATAAAATCGAAAATCTAATACTTCGTCGCGAGCGAGTTAAAAGTAAACTTTCGCGAGCACATTCATTTAAAAAACACACTGAATTGTGGCAACCTGAAATAAATTGCCTTGTATTAGATTCTTACAATAATTGCATCTAATAATCATCACGAAAAGTTTTAAATGTATTTTGATATCTGATGTTATTGTAAATAGCCTGAGTACCTGCAATACAATAGTAATGTTGCATTACGGTATTTATGTTAGTATTGATATAATTTTATTGGAAAAATGTAAATTGGAATTTTATGGCGAATTTAAATAATGTTAGACAAAGCGAATGTCATCTATCGATACCTGTTTATTTTTATTTTTTGCGCATTGTATAACCATAGTATATATTAAGGAGTTTTTCTTTCATTTTGTTTTATTTTATTTTTTTTTTTTCAAGGGAATGGTGCGATCAGGATAGAAAACTAGATATGAATATAGCAGTATTACAGATAATTCATTCGATATGAATAAAGAAAATTGAGTATTTAGAAAAAATTTTCGATAAGTTGCGAAATTGTTCATTTTCTCTTTCCTCGAATTAGTAAAAATTTAAGCTTCGAGAAGTAGTAATTTAAGAATAGAACTTAACGACTGTCTGCGCTGAGAACGAAATAAGGCATTTACGATATATTTAAATGAATTTATCTCTTCCACTGTTGTACATTCCCATATCAAATTTTCGACAATAAAATAAATATCGTGCATTCTACATAACACGGCTCTCATTCTTTTTGCATTATTATGTGAAAATAGATTGAAATTTTATGAAAACAGCAACTGCTGGTAAAATTTTAATTCTTATTTTCAAAAATAGTGTTCTCATTATTCAATCAAACAATAGTATACATATTCATTTTCTTAACGACTATTATATTTTAATGCTTATCTTGGAAAAAAGAAGATATTATGCATAATGAGCAATGAGAACAATAGTTATAAACGATTTACATACGTACATTCGATATCCTTTACGTTTCGTAAAATGAAAATACGTATAATGTAAAGTTTGTAAGTAACATTCCAAATGTATCGTTGAAATTAATGTCATAACATTATTATTATTATAATAAAACACACTTCCATTTTATTTACAATTATACAAGATTCCTTAGAACTGGTGAATATTTGTATTATCAAACAAAAATGAAAGCTCTTGTTTGTACAAGAACAAAAAATTATAAGTTGTTTTAATAGACAAAGATTTCAGTTTACAACTTACCATATATTTAAAGCATTCATCTTTAATACATTTATGAATAAACACAAAACCAAGCCTTTTCAGGTTATTTTTCACTGATACTTGTAACTATCACATAATTTCAATGAAAAATAATTACTTTGAAGATTATCTAGGTTATAACATGTATCAAGATGTTACTTATAGTAACGAAGATATTCTTCAATTCCGAAATTATCTATACTTATGAAAACTATACAAAGTGAGATAGAAGAATGAATAAATAATGATAATGTTAAAACTAATTGTATACCAGAATGAAACTTAAATTTTTTTTATTGATTATCAAATGGCCTTATTTTCATAGACATATGTATCATACGAAAAAATGCCAGTAATTAATATAAAAATACTATACATTTGTACTTTCGAAAGTGAGACATTCTCAAATTCATTTAGAAATTAATTTTTTGTTTGGTGACAAAATTAGGAAGACCAGTTATATGGATGATTGCATGTAACTTCAATTTTACTTACCAATTATTTACAAATTTAAATAGATTTAAAATAATATTAGTCAAAATATTTTTTATTAAAAAAACATTATGCTTTCGACATTTTTTTTATATGAAAGATATATAATAAACATATAATGACTAACAATAATGATATTGTCTTTACTATTCCTAGTGCACAAGAAAAAATATTTCTATTTAAAAACAACACGTGGACTGAATGAAAGTATAGGTCACTTTCAAATTAATAGAATGGTACACAGAATTCAATTTGGTTCTGCGTAAACTCATAAATAACTAGATTTACTATTTAGAGTATAAAAAATCTATCCTCGTGAAATACGATAATAATCTATTTTACATTGTAAATTCTAACCTAACAATCGAAATCATTCTTGTTGAAGCTGCGCTAATGTGTTTCTTACTTTTTGCAAAACGCCGGTCATTTGTTCATACTTACCTGTTGAATCTGGCAGGTTCTCAAAGTTGATTACATCGCTAATATTTTTCGAAAACTTTTCAGATGACGGCAATTTGCTGTACGGAGATGCACTTTGCAAAACAGGCGTCCCTAGGTCAACCGATTTTACACTTCCACAGCTCGTATTTATCATACTACGACGCGATCGATTTGCTTCTGGTGTCACTTCGTTACTAGGTGGAGGCATATCCGATTTTGACGAGTTGTTTTTCAACAAAACATCGGAATTCGCCGGTGAATTTGATTCTTGGAGTTCTATCTCTACTAGTAAACGCTTTTTCATGTTTTCTAAATCATATAACGATGGTGAATTTGTTCGAGAAGATGGCGATGCGCTACGTTCCTGTAACATTTTGTACGACTGGTTTTTATTCCATCATTTTAATACAATGTAAACCAAAATTTTGTTCATATTATGAATAATACGAATAGTACCGGTGATTCAGAAAATTGCAACTCTTGAGAATGATAGTCCGAATCTTCGGATATCGGCTGTGTTAGCTGTAACGATGGTTCTGGAGGCTTTACAGCGGATTCTCGTGGTAATGGTGGCACAAAAAGTCCATCAACAGGTATACTTTCTACTACAATTTCTATTTAAGGAAAGGTAAAATCGTTTTAGTATTGAATTATAGTAATACCTAAATAATGTAAATGCGGAAAAATTGTACCTTCCACATCTTCTATTTCCATTGCGATTGATTCCGACGATACATCATTTCTCGGCTCTGTATTAGGCATTTTGAGCTTTTTCCTTTTATATCCATCGTCTGCTTTTTTCCCTTTCAGCATCAACAACATTGTTTGTTTGCTATGAAAATTTTGCTCCTGTGATTCCCAATACTGCCGGTGTTCCTATTATTTATAACGAGTTTTCAACAATCAAAATATATGAAAATATGTTACTTTCATTTATAGTGTGTAGTTTTATCTGTTAGATTGCTTACATCACGAGTACCATATGGAGGCGGTACATTAAAACCAGGGAAATCAAATATTTTTTTTATGTCGTACAGGTCTTTGTCTCCATCATCAAAAATTGCTCCTGGTTCCTCGTTAGGATCTGTTTCTGGGACGCCATCGGAATTGAATAACGACAAACCAGAGTGTTGTATGCGCGCTTCCTCCAACCACCCTGGAGGGTAGCCAAGTTTTCTCATTCTAAGAACAATATTTTAACATACGAAAATAATAAAAACTGCTTGATTTTTTATGTTAAAAACCTGGTTGCATATCTATATTTCTATTTTGACATCAATTTCATTTTTCAACAGAAGTAACACGAGTACAAAATAAACAATAAAAATATTAAATTTCACAATTAAACAGGTGAAAGCATTTACCTGTATATATGTCTAGGTAATTCATGATCTCTGAGACCTAGTGCTTTACGTAAATTACTACTCAATTGACCAGGAATCATACGATCAAATTTTTGATCGTCATCTAAATGATATCTAACAGATTTTGAACCTCCTTTGCTATTGAAATTTTTTCTATTTTTATTGATATTAGCCTGAATACGTGGTTTTGGACAGTCTCTTAAATTATGATTTTCCATACAATTAAAACACATCAATTTTGGTTGATATTCAATTTTTTGTTTCAATTTTTGTTGATGTTCATTTATTTCTTTCAATTTTTGTTCTGGCTTATTAATTTCAAATACGTTTTCGTATTTCTGTAATGGTGTATATCATAACATTACATAATTAATTTAATATCTCTATTACAATAAAATCATTACAATGAAATTATATACCTTTCCATATGTTGGAACATCAATGTCATTTGCAAGTTTTGGTTCTTTATCTACTGTAAATAGCGTATCGCATATTGTATCTTGACTCTCTTCGCTTTCAGTGGTAATTTCAACAGATTGACTCGTAAAGTCCTTATCATTTTCCCAGACTTCTAATGTTAAGCTATCATCATTTTCTTGACCTTTAACTACAGAGGGTATTAAGTCCTCCAAAAAGTCTTTTATTTGTTTTCTGTATTGCCTAAAATGTAAATTGAGAAAATCAAAAGGCATCGATTAATAAAAAGTAGTTATGTAGGTGGATATGTAAACAAGTGACATCGTTGTTTACAATACAATCGTTTGCTGTATATTACGTTGCAATGCACGCCACGAAAGTGATAATTTCTAAATAAAAATAACGTATACATCGTTCGAAGGTAAACAAAGCGATTTCTCACCGTGAAACACTTTCGTCTCGAAACATAACCTTAAAAAGGGGTTTTGAAATACAAGTATCATCGCTATGTTGCGATGTACAAGCATTTATCTTATACTTTGTATCTTCACTGGTAGTATCCGTTCCGTCCACAGTATCGTACGATGGTGAATTCTTTTCAGTAGAACGTTCACTTTGATCATTGTTAACATCGTTGATGGTATCTTGGCTAGAGTCCAATTCGATCACCTCGTCGTCTGTGTCTCCAAGTGTGATCATTGAATTCATGGAAAAATTATCGACACTGGCATAGATGAAATTGCTCTTCGGAGACTTGAAGATTTTTCACGCGATAATTGTTTCTTTACGTTTTTCGTTTTGAAGAAAATACTACGCTTCGGCTTCTAGTTTCACGTACGCGACGAAACTTTACGATAGGGGCGCCCCAAACTGGTACACAGTTAAACGTGGAGTATACATTTTTACAATACGTGATAAAAAAGGATTTGATTTTATGAGAAATTTGATAGTTCGATTACTTTGTATTCTAATTTTTTTGTATCGCTAATTTTAAATATAGATTCTATGCTGTATCATATTTGCGTACAAAGTGTTATAACATGATAAAAACTTTTAATTATAACTTTTTCTGTTCATACATTATACAATTAAATACCGGGAATTTTATATATTTCAATGTAAATCTATCGATTCGAAATTATACAAGATTGCAGACTTCAACAGATGGAATTGATAGTACAGACTTATGCCGCTTAGATTTGAATAAAAGTATTTGTATCATTTAATTGAAAAACATGAATATTAAAGGGCACAGTCATTAAATGGCCTACGAAGGTAGTATTTTTAATCCGTGTCCAAGATAAAAGAAAAAAAAAAGACGATAATTAGATTAGAACTATGCTATGCTGTCGATAGTTTCAACGTTCATTGCGAATGATCTAAGTAATTCTAAGATGATAGCTTTTTAAAATTCAGCATTGGCAGCTTCACTCCTGAAGAATTCATAATGCCCATTTTAAAGCCTATTGGAGAGTCATATACTAAACGTAAAATAGAGATTTCTAAAAGGAATGGTTGGCGGTACGCCATTTTTAGTTCCCGAACAAAACAATTTATTGCAGGTTATTACAAAGGAGAATGGAGAAACGATAAAAAAGAGGGCAAGGGCAATGAAATAAACAGGTATAATAGTTATTATAATTGCCATAACTATGGTAAGTAGTGCTGATAAAATAACAGTTTCAAACATTTTCTTTATTACTGCTTTCAATCAGAGATAGGCAAAATTCTTATTTGGATACACATTTCGACTAAAGAATAAATTGCCATTTAATGCGCTA